GTGTGTGTGTGTGTGCACACTTCTTCAAGGGTGCCAAACCTTTGGAGGGTATCCAGGAGGAGTGTTTGTGGCTTTGTAGTAATGGAAGACAATCATGACCAAGATCCAATTCCCGTAACAAATGTGCCACATCATCCAGCCAAGAGAGTACGTTTGGAGGACCAGCGGTAGAAGGCAGTAGTATGCGATGAAAACCACAGAACTGGTAAGAGCTACTACTAAAAACACAAAAACCTTAAGAGAACAGAAAAAGCGCAGAGTGTAAGAAAAACAAACCAACATTGCAACAAAACAACATGATGGTAATTGTGAGATTTACCATTCCAAACCATCGTGTGACAACCTCCACCATCCAAAACACTGGTTCAAGGATGCAGTCCAGTACCACTTCAGAGTTAGTGAGCGAGTTAAAATAAAGGGATTTGAAGATCAGTTTGATGTAGCTCACAGGCTGCCTCAGTCTTCTGGGCATGCGGCTGCGACTGTGTCTGCCACATCCGCGCATGCATCGCAGCAGCAGGTGCATGACAGTAGAGCAGGGACGCATGTTCAGCCCCTGTAAAGACAAGATCTTATCTTTTAATAACCTGTTCGAACATCCTGAATATCGGCACAAGCAAGTTCCTCTGCATACGGCCTGCAATTTGCTCACTGACAGTTGCCCTCATGCTGAACCTGTAAGACAATTAGATTAATCAAGCATCCTTCTAAGCAGATGGTGTGGATTGATATAAACCAATAATGCAAGCATGGTTTAGTTTTCTGATACCCCTGAATTATCTAACATAATACAAATATTCGAAAGGTTGATGACCTCTTTTGTTCAGTCTTTAGAAAGCAGCATACTTTACATGATTGCACTGATAATAACAATGCACCTACAACACCCTGCCCTTTTAAGTTTACTTAGATTTAGAAATAAAACTCGGGGATGGTTAGGCTAGTGACTAATGCATCTTTCCGTGGATTTGTAGTTGTAATCAAACCATTAATCTTATTAGAAATGTTTCAAGCCGTCCCTTAAAGAGGCGCTGGATGTGAATTTAGATTAATATATGCATAAACAAAGATCTGGGATGATGA